GGGGCTTCCACCCAGAGCGGCTTCCACCCAGAGCGGCTTCCACCCAGAGCGGCTTCCACCCAGAGGGGCTTCCCCAAGAGTGCAAAAACATGCAAGAGTTTGGGACTAATCCAGTTCCGCCTACTGGAACTACTACTAAGCAGAAGTGCTGTCTGCTTAGCTGGTCAGGTCTCTCCCCAGCAAAAAAGAAACAGCACCTTGGGAAATTACTTTGTGGTCTTTGCATGTCTTAATGGGGGGGGGGGGGACAGAGAGGGAAAGAAAGCTTCATAAAAAAAAAGAAGGAAATGTTCCCACTAGGTATCTGGGACTCTCTGAAAAGCATCACGCTGGAAGATGCCAAAGACAATTTTAGAAGACCCAGAGCCAGCAGGGTGGTGAGTGGAGCAAGGGCCTCCCAGCAGCACAGAGCCGAGAGCTCCAAGCAAGCACGTGTCTGCTCTCCTCACAGGGCTGACCCATCTGTCAGACCACAGGCACCCTGACTGGCCCGTAGTGAGTCACAGGGCCTCGCTGGGCGACACTGGGAGGGGGGCGTCCCAGCGTTAGGACCCATGGACTCTAAAAGGAAGATCTTTAAATGTTGTGCAAAGTTTCACTGACAACAGCCCCAGGTAAGAGGGGGAGATCAGGACAGAAATGGGGAGGAAGACACACTGTTCGGGACATGCTTCCCACTGCGACATCTCACGGGTACACAGGGAACTGCCAGCGGCCCCTGGTCCCGTTCTCTTCCTTCGATCCCTCACGTTCCCAGCACAGTGTGATGCCCATTAAACAGGCCTCACCCACCTCTTCAAGACTTTTCCAGAACCTTTGCCCTTCACGGCGTCTGCGTCTCCTCTCAGCACAGCAAGGAAGTTTTGGGGGGTGACATCCTACAAAGAATTGGAGGTCAAAGTCAAGTGCAGTTGGTACTTATTTCCAGGCTGAGGATTGGAGGGCTGTGAGCAGACCCGGGCCACCGCCCACACATCTCCAAGGCTCAAGGTTTAAAAGCAAACACCATGGAACCCACAAAGACCCAAAGCCAGCTCAGTGTTTGGGGGACAAGCACGTGACCGTCACTTCTCTTTTCTAACTATGGTGTGGGTGCCAGTTGACAGAGCATCTAAGTCTTCGCTCAACAATTTGTCATTTCACAACACTGGCTGCAATCCCTCGCTGTAATAGCGTGCTTTCTCCTTTTCCCTAGAATCTCAGTTTCCATTCGGCCTTCTTCCCTGCCCCTTCCTGTCCTCTGACCTTGGTTTGTGGGCAAAGCTTCCCCTTCTGTGGGCCTCAGGGACTGACTGTACTGAAAAGTGCATTTCTCTCTGGTGTTTGGGGTCACTTGATAAGTCCAGTGTTTGGATGAAAGTTGATCTCTGGGAGGGACCTCACTTGAAGGCTGGAGGGGTGTCTAAAGGCCACAGTATCAGGATGCTGTTACTTCTTGGTCATTATACAATGTAAGCGGAGAAACACAAAGATCTAAGTAAAAAAACCTCAAAATCATTGTGGTTGAGTCAGAAGTGACTCCTAGCTGACCCTTCAGTGGGTTTCCAGGGTCTGTAAATCACACGTGAGGGGTTTGCCCATTCTGGGTGGGTTTCCAGAGGCTGTAAATCACATGGGAGGGGTTTGCCCATTCTGGGTGGGTTTCCAGAGGCTGTAAATCACACAGGAGGGTTTGCCCATCTCTGAGTGGGTTTCCAGAGGCTGTAAATCACACGGGAGGGGTTTGCCCATCTCTGAGTGGGTTTCCAGAGGCTGTAAATCACACAGGAGGGTTTGCCCATCTCTGAGTGGGTTTCCAGAGGCTGTAAATCACATGGGAGGGGTTTGCCCATTTTCTGGGTGGGTTTCTAGAGGCTGTAAATCACACAGGAGGGTTTGCCCATTCTGGGTGGGTTTCCAGGGGCTGTAAATCACACAAAAGGGGCCTGTCCATCTTTGCGCTGAGGAACGGCTGGTGGATTTGAACCACCAACAAGGAACCCTCTTTGGGTCAGCAGCACAGTTCCCTAAAAGACATGAGTTGGTTTTTGTTGTCGTTGTTGTGTGTTACTGAGTCGGAATTGTCCCTTAGCTAACAGAAGAACTGGTGTGTTTTGGTTGTGATGTTGGAGAAGAGTACTGAAGACACCACAGACTGCCAAGAGAATAAATAAGTCTATCCTGAAGGAACTGCAACCAGGGTGCTCCCTAGAGGCAAGGATGGAGGTGTAACAACTTCCTCCCAAACCCTCAGAGCTGACACCTGGAGCGCACATCCTAAAATGAGTAGGAAACATTGACCAGGGATCGATCTACAAAGTTCCAGTTCTAGAAACACAAGAGGGAATCATCCCCCAAATCCCACGTGGTGGCTGCACACCGTGAGCCGCTCACCTCGCCGGTGTAGTCCTTCGGGACGCCCTGGTACACGTCAGTGCCGTTGGGTCTGTTGATCACCACCCCTGGGGTGGGGTTGCTGAAAATGAAACACCACCGTGAGACTCAGTGTGACGTTCTCTGATGTGTGTACAGAAACCAGCCCCCGTTTACATGGAAAGCAGGCAATGAGTAGGTCTAGGGGGGACACTTCTCATTACTGCACAGACATCAGGGTGCTGATTTTAGCAGTCGGGGAGCCTAACTGTACCCCCACTAAGGGGTGATTCTGCCCACCAGTCCTGGAAAGAGCAGCGAAGGCTGAGCTCCAAAAACCCAGGACAAAGAGGGAAGCCGCGTGCAATCCTGGTCTCTGGGGAAAATGAAACCCCCTCCATGAGCGGAAGCCGCGTCAGGTGATACCATGTGTGTCTGAACAGAACGCTGCTCCAAGGGCTTTCAGGGGCTGATCACCAAGTAGATCACTAGGTCTTTCTTCCTAGGAATCTATGGGTGAACCTGAGCCTCCAACCTTCTACTAACAGCGACGCACAGTAACAGCTTTGAGTTGGTTGGGTGTTGGGTTTGTTTTTTTTTCAACCCCCTTTGCTGAAACTAGATAAAATCTTGGGGCCAAGATTTGACCAGGTGCAATCCAAGAGCTGTTCTGCTTTCCAGTAAACACAGGAGGGAAAGCCAGCCTTCAGGACAACGCCTCAAGAGGTCAAGTGTGAGAATGGAGTAAGAGCTGTGAGTATGGGCTCAGTGGAGAGACTGAGACCAAGCAGGGGCACGGGAAACTGCGGCCAGGACAGGTGGCTCAGGTCCATACTTGATGCTTCCGCGAGAAAGCAATAAGCAGGCTTGGCAGAGCTAATCTGAAAATTCCATTCACCGAACAACAAAAGCAAATGGATACAGAAAGTACATTAGGGTGCAACCAACAAACAAGAGCCTTCAGTGTGTGGGACAAGTGTCCTGGGGTCCCCAAGCTTGGAGGTTAAGAGCAGGTACTGCAAAATCTAAGTCCGAGTCCCCCAGGGTGAGGAGATGCCCCTTTCAACCCTTTCAAAGAGACCAAGAGAAGCACCCTTCTGCATCCATTCCCTCTGTCTACTACGCCACTGCAAAGTGACCCTCAGTTTGTTCATAGACCAGCCCCCTCTGTGTGACTTTGATGTGGGAGTCTGGGGTGGGACTTGAGTGTTCAGAGTCTATGAGGCCACCGCTCTGGGTTTGCGTGGGTCCGCAGGAGTCTTTTCTCCAACACCCTGAAGTTCTTCCCCATCCAGTTCCTTGCAAGAGCCCCGACTTACTCTTTATCGTTGGCGATGTCATCATACATCATGACAATGATCTGCTCGTCCGGGATCCCATTGCGGTGAACGATCTGGTAGGCGTGGCACGCGTCCGCCTGGGAGAAAGGAAAGGGGCACAGGTCAGCCTCAGCCCAGGAAGGAAGGGTGAGAGCGCTAAGGCCCACAGGTTCTGTCTCCTGGAAACATCGCTAGGAGCCATTCCTATGGGTCAGATGTTTAAACTATTTTAAAATGCAGGCATTTATCATTTTTTAA